TTATTTTTTATTATACAAATATAAACTAAACAAAAACTACATCACTGTGAAAATGATGCAATCAAATGAATACAAAAAAAAATCATAAATTAATAAAATTAATAATGGGTAGGATTTCTTTTGGACTTAATTACTAGTTTTAGTCTATTAGGATTTGATTCCACTAATTTGTTTATATATTCTGGGGTTATTTTATTTAGGATCGTTGTCCTGGTAAAACACAAAATATTTCCAATTTTTCGACACTGGTTGCTAAGTTTTCTTTTAAAATATTCAAGTTTTATCCATGTTGCCTTCGGTAAAATGTAAATTGCCCACCCTATTAGCTGACTAACAACCCCAAGCCATTACATGAACACCACCATGTTTTACAGTTGGTCTTAAATGTTGAGGTTTCATCTCTTCATTTGCTCTTCGCCATACATTTACTTGACCATCTGAACCAATAATGTTAAATTTACTTTCAACAGTGAATAAATTATTCTTCCAATAATTGCCATTCTACCATGTCATTTACCACGTCATTTTTTCTTAAAACTCTACAGATTGTTTCTATATTCATATTTTTTCTAATGTTTTTTTACCTCAGTGGCAAGCTTTGGTACACTTAAATGAGGATTATCGTGTGAAGTTCGGACAACCCAACGTTCTACTGTAAAACTTCTTTTGGGACATATTTTCGCTTTATTTTTTATTCTATTTTTATTTTGATAACGTTCTATAATATGCTGCACTGTAGATTTTTTATTAAAAATTTTTGAAATTTCTTGTTGATTTTTTTTATTTTGGAAATTAAATAGGGTTAATTGTCTTTCTTCGAGAGTCGTGTGTCTCCCCATTTTAATTTTTGTTTTTTAAAGCACACGCAGATTAATTAACAAACAGATTAATAATTAACACTATTAGTAACAATATGACAGATGTTACACTAAAATAAAAGAATGTAATTGTGGGTAGCAAATTAATAAATAGCAAATAAGCAAAATTATATAAAAATTTTAAAAATGAAAATCATTTTTGCTAAAAATAATTTTTTCAAGTTTAAATGCATAAAAACTATTGATTTTGAGCTGAATATAAAAAAAGTTAACATTTTCAAGTTTTTTAAAGGTTTTTTTAGGCATGTTTTTCATGTAAATTGATTACTATTTTTGAAGTTTTTATATAATTTCGCTTCTTTTGAGTCCCAGGTTGACATACTTTAGAAAAACGTTTTTTTTTTAAACATTAATGACCTGTCTATATATATATATATATATACATGTATATATATATATATATATATATATATATATATATATATATATATATATATATATATATATATATATATATATATATATGTGTGTGTGTGTTTGTATATATATAAAAATATATATGTATATATATATATGTGTGTGTATATGTATATATATATATATATATATATATATCCAAATCTGGCCGGAATATATATATATATATATATATATATATATATATATATATATATATATACATACACACACATATATATATATATATATATATATATATATATATATATATATATATATATTCCAAATCTGGCCGGAGCCGGATTTGCCGGATTCCTACTAACAGATCCGGAATCGGAATCAGAGCCAGAGCCGGATTTCGAAGCAAAACTACAGGAACCAAAATCCTGTACATCCCTACTTTTTGCTGAAAATAGTCAACAATGTTGACTATTTAGATCACCAAGTGACAGTTGTTTTCTATTAAACATCATTTTTGTTGTTTAAAAGTTTTATAGCAATTTCTATAGAAATTAATAGACATTTTATATAAATTTTATAGTTTCTATAGGCCATATGTTTCAAAAATTTAGAGAAATTCTATAGATATTTTTTTGCCAGGATGTTGTCACTCCGCCACTGTAGTGAATCAGCGTGTCTATATATTTCTGATTCTTCCAGATATTGGCTTAGCTGAGTGTCAATGCCTGTTGGTAATTGTTGTTTATGTGCTGTGCTACAAGCGGGCATAGACTGAATAATTTCATCTATATATATTGCCATTGTAATGATGATAATGTATAAGAATTATCCAGCCGGGATTGTTTTGCTGGATTTTCTTTAGTTTTTTTAATCTAAAAAGGTTTCTCCTCAATGCCTTTGAATCGCTCATCTAATGACTTGATTAGGAATGACTTCATAGTCTTTACACCTGCATTATTGCAGAATATCGTGTGTCTTTTCTTCAGAATTTTTTGTTGCGTTGTTGTTTGAAATTAGGCTTAGCTAATTAAATTGTAAAGAAATGTAAATACAGATACCAAAACTAACATGAAGTTCAAAAATTAAGTATTATGTATACATCTTATCACGGGCAAGAAAGATGTAATAAATATCTGACCAAAATTCAGAAATCCGGCCAAAATTATGCCGGATTAGCTAACATTTTGCCAAAGCCGGATTTGGGCCGGATTTGTAAAAATGGCCGGATTTCAGCCGGAGCAGGAGCCGGAGCCGAAATTTGGTACAGCCCTAATATATACATGTATATATATATATATATATATATATATATATATATATATATATATATATATATATATATATATATATATATATATATATATATATATATGTATATATATATATATATATATATATATATATATATATATATATATATATATATATATATATATATATATATATATATATATATATATATTTTTTTTTATTTTAATTCATCTCCTCAAAGCCGAGAAGGCCACTACAGACAAGGAGGCTACTTATTTGTGGCTATAACCCTCTCTCAACTCTATAACTCCAAAACACGAGCCTTGACGAACAAGGCCGCTGCGCGGAGAAACGAGTTGAGCGCGGTACTACCAGGGACGTGGTGGGGATCGAACTCGGAAATATATATATATATATATATATATATATATATATATATATATATATATATATATATATATATATATATATATATATATATATATATATGTATATATATATGTATATATATATGTGTGTGTATATATATATATATATATATATATGTATATATATATATATATATATATATATGTATATATATATATATATACTATAATGTATAACCGTATGCTAATTATACTATGCCACTGCGGTAGTGGTGTAGTGGTAAGAGCGCTCCCTTTGTAAGCGAGAGGCTCAGAGTTCGACTCCCACCATGTCCCTGAAAGTACCACGCTCAACTTAATTTCTCCGCGCAGCCGCCTTGCTTGTCAAGGTTCGTGTTTCGGAGTTAAAGAGTTATGAGAGTGTTGTACCACGGTTTTTCAACAAAAAAAAAAATAAAAAAAAAAAAAAAATAAGTAGCCTCCTCGACTGTAGTTGCCCCCTCGGGCCTTGGGTAGGTGATTAATTAAAAAAAAAAAAAAAAAACTTTTTTTGCCAACCTATATCCATGCAATTTTTTAGGAAAAGAACAGAAATATAAAGGATAATAAAAAAACTCCAATTAAATGTAGAGCAACTCCTACCCAACTCCCTATTTTATCAGCACTTTTGATTGCAGATCTAAATAAGTTTATACATATATATGTGTTTGTATTATGTTATTTAAAATAATCTCGACTATTATATTATTTTCAAATTAATATAGTAGTCAAGGTTTACTAATAACAAGAATTTAAATAACACTATGTAACATATATGTAATGTAATATATGTAATGTACTATGTAACACTATGTTATAACACTATGTATTTTAAAATTGGAATTTAAATAACACAATGTAACAATTTTTTTGTTTTGTTATATCTTAATGTTGAAAGTGTGTTTTGTTGGGTTTTGTCCTACATCATATTTTTTATCAAAAATATGATGTAGGCAGTATTTAGTTCTACTTTGTAAAAATGATTTACATTACACTTGCGAATCTAGTAAATCTACTTGTTTTTAAAGCTTTTTGATTGGTTTTTCAAGTCTATTCGATGCGTTTTTTCTTACCGGAATGAACAAAAATGTGAAATATATCTTGTTTTGTTTCCAAAAAAAAATTTTTTTCATGCTGTGGTCATTTAAAGTTTGCGCTTCATGTAGCTGTTTTTCAACAATCTTTTGGCATAAGCAATTGAATATACCACTTTAAATTTAGAAACGAAAATTGTGTTACATGTTTAATTTAAATAACTGTTTTTATGGTAACCTTGTTTTGAAATTAAATACTTTTTAAATTTGTTTTTGAAAATGAAATATCTGTAAATATTTGTAAATAATGTAAATAGTATTTTTATTTATTTATATATACTTTACATAGAGACCTGAACTGACTGAAGTATATCTTATTCAGCTGTTAAATGTTAGTGGTGGGTCAATATCTTCTATCAACCAAACTGCTAGTTTAAAATTACTCAGTAGTGATTATCCTTATGGTTTGATTGAATTTGAGAAAAAATCTATTGAAATCGAAGAAAAAATAACCCACAATGCTTTTATCCAAGTAAATCGAAGTAAAGGTACTTTTGGGCACATACGTCTTTATTATAATACCATTAAGGGCTTAAATAATCAGTCTAGTGCTACAATGGGTGAAGACTTCAGTCTAAATGGGTGTTATCTCGATTTTGTAGATGGTCAGAAGTCTGCTGTTATTAATATCACTATTATAGATGACAATGAACCTGAGATGCTTGAAACATTTCTACTTAACTTAACAGATGTAGAGATAATTTCTGAAAATAATACAAAAAGATTAAGTATTATATTTAACTTTGAGTAAAAAATAAAATATATATAAAAAAATATTTATGCAATATATATATAACAATCATAAACAATAATTATAAGTTGTCATATATATATATTATTTTTATTAGACTTTTTACTGTAAAATTATAAACAGTTCTATGTTTTTTTATTCAGTTATTTCAGTAAAATAAAATAAATAAAAATTTTCTTAATAACTTGTTTTTTTATAAATAAAAGTTATGTTTATTATCTCTTGTTCCTTTATAAATAAAAGTTTTTCTATTATCACATGCTCTTTTAGAAAAGTTTGTTGAAATAAAGAAATTTATTTTGTTATAGATCTTGAAAATGTTTTTGCAAGCACCCCTAATATGATTACTATCAATATATTACCCAATGATAACCCAAATGGTATTTTAAACTTTCAATATGCTAAAGTTCATGTTTCAGAAGACTATAATGACACTTTTTTATCTGTTATACGCTCAGAAGGTTTATTTGGCAGAGTAGGTTGTTTTTTAGGGTGTTGTATTGTAGGGTGTTGTGTTGTGTTGTAGGGTGTTTGATTTTTATTATAGAAATTATTCTTTAAAACTTTATTATTTTTGAAATTAGCATTATGAGTTAAATAATAAATTTAAAAGAGATATTATAATAAATTAAGGAATAAATACATTTTAAACACAAAATAATATTTTCAGGTGTCATTTGGCTATTCAATAGAAACTATATCTGCTGAAATCGGATTAGATTTTTCTGTTTCATCATTTACTATGATTATTGAAGAAAATCAAAGCAGTATCATGTTACCAATATTTACAATATTTGATGAGTTACCAGAGTTTAATGAGACTTTTATAGTGCGATTACTTCCTGATACATTTTTGGGTGGACTTGTCATGGGCCTATTGAATACAAGTGAGGTTACTATACTTGAAAACGATTTCCCTTATGGTAAGATAGGTATGTACACTATTGTTTTTCTATATATATATATATATATATATATATATATATATATATATATATATATATATATATATATATATATATATATATATATATATATATATATATATATATATATATATATATATATATATATATATATATATATATATATATATATATATATATATATGTATATATATATATATATATATATATATATATATATATATATATATATATATATATATATATATATATATATATATATATATATATATATATAAAAGCAAAAGAAATTTTTAGGTAAAAAACTCTTTCAATGTTTATTTTTAAAATTTAAGCAACCTTAAACATTTAAATGACTTTTAATTGTTACTTAACTGTTTATATATTATTTTTTAAAGTAATTTAAAGTTGTTGTTTTTCAAAAACAGCAAAAATTATGACTAGAAAGATTTTAAAAAAGTTATATTTTTGTTTTTTATTTTTTTATACCGTTTTTGTACATTTTTAAAATTTATTGTTTGTCTGACTTAAATAGACTGACAAAAACATACAGGAATCTGCTGATATTGGATTAGATTTTTTATAAAATGATATTTATAATGCTATAAAGATATTATACATTGACTGTGGGTTTGGGTTTAGGTAGGTAAAATATTTTAAAATTTTTTAAAGCCATAAGATTTTCTATATATATATACAAGGCTTGAAATAGCGAACATTTTTTTCCTGACAAATTGTCTGATAAATACTCAAATTTGGTAGACATCCATAAAAAAATAAAAAATCTAAAAGAAAAAGATAAATTCTTAGCTCAATAAACTAAAATTAGAAAAGGAAAATTTATTTATACTACATTTTTTAAAAATTACTATACTATGCAAAATGCATTGTAAATTATTATAAATTAAAAATATATTAAATACAAAAGTTTTTATGCTTACTTATTACTTTATTAAATAAAGTAACAAATCAATTTTAATGAGCATTTACAATAATTAAAAATAATTTGTATAATTTTCTTTGATAATTTAAATAAAATGTAATTAGAATGAATTACATTTTATTTACATTAGCAAAGATTATTTCACGTAATCTATAATACGTAATTACATTTATATAAATGTGTATTATATATATATATATATATATATATATATATATATATATATATATATATATATATATATATATATATTTAGCACCAGTAATAGGAATTGTCCTATGTGTCAGTAGAATTTCCACCTTCATAAGTAAATTTTAGGTGATGTTCAAGTTCCATGCTTTTTTTGAGCTTTATTTTCCTTTTTTTTTTTTTCCTTGAGGTGATTTTATTATTTGATTTGTTCCAGTTATCTGATCAACTTTCCAATCAACTCCAAAAAAAATTAACTGATTTTTTTGTTTTAAGTCAACATTTTCACTATCAACATTTACTCTTGATATGGGAGTTTGATATAATTATCATTTTTTAAAAAATGTTTAATGCCATAAAGTAAGAGCTGCACCTACGTCAAAAGCACCTAATGCCATAAAGCAAGAGCTGCACCTACGTTGGCGAACACTCGCTTCTAATTGGTTCTATAGCAAAACTTGGGAGTTTAACTAAGTTGTACTTGAGGAACTATTTTTTGGTTGCTATTCACCTTCATCCTAAAAAAAATTATAAAATAAAAATGTTTTATTTAATTTACAAAAAATAAATTTAGTTCTTCACATAAATTTAGATTTCTTCACGTAAATTTACATTTCTTCACATAAATTTAGATTTTTTCACATTAATTTAGATTTCTTCACATAAATTTACATTTCTTCACATAAATTTACATTTCTTCACATAAATTTAGATTTTTTCACATAAATTTACATTTCTTCACATAAATTTACATTTCTTTACATACATTTACATTTGGTATGAGGGATTCTGCTTTATTTGTGACCTGTCTGAAAGTGCTTGAATTTGTTAACATTACCTCTCACAAGGGCCACCACAATACTTTTTTTTTCACTTTTCATTTGTGTAATAGGAGATACTTTGACTTAATATATACACAATGTATTAGAGTATAATTTTTAGTGAAATGGACTATAATTTTTAGTGAAACCTCTTTTTAAAAAGTTTTATATCTTTTAATATAGTTTACTTTAATCTACAACTTCAGATTTTACAAAAGAAAATTCATTTAAACTTAAAATTCATTTAAATTTGAAACATAATTTTTAAACAAACCTAATTTTAAGTATTTAAAATTTAAATTTTAAATTTGTATAAATAATTTAGCAAACTTGTATTTTTAGAACAATTGCACTAAGTTTAACTTTTTTTTTTGCTTTAATTATAATATATAAAGTTATTTTTTAGGCTTTAGTAAACTAGATGATGTGATTGCTTCAGAACCAGAAATCTTGGAGTCAGGAATTACAGATCAAAAAGTATTTATAAAAGTTGTTAGGGAAGGAGGCAGCTATGGTTATTCACAAATACGCTGGGTAGGTTATCCAACAGTGCCATGGTTTGGGGATAATGATATAGCTCCTTTAAAAGGTTTTGTGACTTTTTTAACTGGGGAAACCTCACAAAACATCATCATCAATATCATGCCTGACAGTATACCTGAAATTAATGAGGTATAATTGAAAGACTAAACTATTTGTTTTTACCAATGTTTTTATCAAGTTTTATTTATTATATTTTATTACAGTTTGTAATTTATTTTTTATTATACATTTATTGTTTAGATAATATTTCTAAACAAAATTATAAATACAATAACTTTTTTTCATGCATTTTCTGAGCTTTTTTTGCTAAAAATACATTTATATGTGATACATAATACAGTCACTCTTTGTATTATTTGTAGACATACATAATTTTATTAAAAGAAGTTTCTGCCGGAAATGCAGTTATTAATGATGTAAAATCATCATTGCGTCTGATAATTTTATTAAATGATAATCCTTATGGCACTGTTAAATTTATGGATTCAGCTGTTGATGTGTTAGAAGGAGAGAGCGATTATAATGTAACACTGCGCGTCAATCGAGTTAATGGAATGTTTGGTGACTTACGAGTTTTTTGGAGGTTTGTCTAACAGTTTTTTTGATATATATATATATATATATATATATATATATATATATATATATATATATATATATATATATATATATATATATATATATATATATATATATATATATATATATATATATCATATATATATATATATATATATATATATATATATATATATATATATATATATATATATATATATATATATATATATATATATATATATATATATATACATATATATATATATATATATATATATATATATATATATATATATATATATATATATATATATATATATATATATATATCATTGTAGGACAAATCACTTAATTAGTTTCAAAGAAAAAGCCACACCTGGTGCTGATTTTGGATTCATACCAAACCAGTTTTTTGTTATTTCAAATGCCTCAAGCCAATCAGAAATACAAGTTCTTATTTATAGTGACGAAGTTCCTGAACTTGACGAAATGTTTCAAGTTGAACTTTTAGGTGTTGAAGTTGTTGATGACAATGTTTTAGTACAGGACATGCATGTTATTGATGATAAAAAGTATGTAAATATTACAATACTTGAAAATGATGAACCATATGGCATGTTTGCACTTCATGGATTTGGAATATCTAAAAATAATTATTCTGTATTTGAACCTGAAAATACTAACTTAACACTGGAATTTTATATAAGTCGCAAAAAAGGTAAAAAAAATATTTAACAATGTTTCAAACTTTTTTTTTTTTCAACTTTACTTTACTTTATTATTACTTTTTATTTTGAGGTGCTTTTAAGAGAGTATCTGTATCATGGCAAGTGAATAGTACAGAGATATCAAAAGATGATATATGTTGTAATGGAGAAGTTATTGTTTTTGAGCAGGATGAAAGATTGAAGTTTTTTTCCATATCTGTACTTCCAGATCTCATTCCTGAAAATGATGAAGAGTTCTCAGTTTACCTTTTAAATTCAACTGATGGATCAATTGTTGATGGTAACAACTCTTATATAAAAGTTATCATACTTGCTAACGATAACTTTGGAGGCATCATTCAGTTTTGCAACAAATCCATTGTGTTATCAGTTAAAGAAGGGGAAAAGTTTAGCCTTTGTCTGCAGAGATCATTACCTGCATTTGGAGATGCTGTTGTTACATGGAAAATTATTGGTGATAATGTCACTCAAGATTTTGTATCTGATCAAGGCTTTGCTAATTTTTCAACGGTTTGTTATTAATTATTATTATTAGTTTAAGTTTCAAATATATTTATTTTTTTATAATTTTTTTATCAATATTTACTTTTTATTTTTTATCATATGCATTTGTTTTTGATAACATCTATTAACCATTATATTCACTATTAAGTACTTTAATTTATGATAGTTTATGATAATAAATAATTTAAAATAAAATCTGTGTTTTGCAATAATTTAAAAAATAGGGGCAGACAATCACAACAATCAATCTGGAAAGTATTTTGGATCAGGCTCCTGAAACTGATGAGTATTTTGTTGTACGTTTAGTTGCAGTCAAAACAGCTGGTGTTTCAATTTCAGGTGCTGCTGTTTTAGATGAAACTTATCGAGAATCTTTTCTTACAATTGCAGAAAGTGATTTTCCTAATGGAATAGTAGAGTTTGCAAATGACATTCCATTGTATGTGGATGAGGGTAAAACACTGAAAATCCTTGTTATTCGTCAGTTTGGAAAGATTGGTAACTTATAATTTTTCTTTTATCTAGTTAAAGATTATACAAAAATTCTTGTTAACTTAGTTTTTTTGTACTAAAGAATTTTTTTTATTATCACGTCTATTTTTTATTATTAATATAAATACAGTGCTAGTAAAATGTTTTCAAACACTCAAACAATTATTGCAGAATTTGCAAAAGTTCTGTTTTAATTGTTCAGAATTTGCCCAGCCTCATTACTAGAACTGTTAAACATGGAAGTTATATGGAGAGCCTTCTCATTGAAGGGTATTTTTCTATTGCACAGGGTAAGTGAAATTCTTTATGATAGAAAAAACATAAAATTTTTGTAACTAATCAGATTTTTATGCAACAGGACAGCAGTTAAAAACAGTTGTGAAGACTGTGCAAAAAACTTTTTAGTAAACATAAAGAAGGTTAAGGATCATTATGTGGCTGACTCAACTCTATGATGAAAACAAATTAAATTGGCCAAGGGTGTGTAAAACTGATTGTTTTTACAATCTAAACCCAACATTGATCCAATTTGTGTAATCCAACCTTAACTCAAATTGAGTATATTGAATTAATGTTGGGTTATATACACTGGATCAAAGTTGATTCATATAAATTGACAATGTATATGAATCAACTTTGATCCAGTGTATATAACCCAACATTGATTCAATATATATGGATCAATGTTGATCCTATGTATGCAACCCAATGCTGCAAGTGCAAAATTATATAATTTTTTTTTTTTTCATTTTCACTTAAACACTAGCTCTTTAGAGCAGTGCCCATTTTAGTATTTATAGAAAACAAAGAAACCATTATGATGATGTGATAATCGTTGAAGTTTAGCTGCAAGAGCAGGTCCAACTATGTTTACAATGTATTTTTGTACCTTATCTAAAGGAGGAAAGGCATCATTGGAAGATCCGCCCCAGATATGGCAACAGTATTACATGGACAGATTTGAGACTTATAGATATAACAAATAGAATCTGTAGTAAGATAGTGGCGAGCACGATAAAGAGATGCAACCTCAGCTAATTTTTTATTTGACATGTAGTTTCCGAGAAAGAATAAAAGTAAGAATTATTCCTTGAAGACATATATACATTCATGGTACATGAATCTTCAAGTACATTACCATTCATAAATAAAGGAAGATCCAAGTTGTTGCGATAACGATTAGCTGAAAAAAGTTTAGTTTTATCTGAGTTAAAGTTCACCAGCCACTGAGAACCCCTTGCTATAGAAGAAGTGAGATCTTTTTTAAGCTAAAATGTCCCCTCCAAGCAATCAGAGAGTGTTGGCTTCTTATCAAGACAAGAATAAATGGTAGTATCATCATCCAACAACTCCACCTTAGATGGGAGAATTTCTAAAACACCATTAATGTAAATTAAAAAAAGTATAGGGCTAAGGATAGAATCTTGAGAAACCCCTGAAGTTACTAGAAATGAAAAAGTTGTCCATCAAGGATAGCTTTTATACTATGATTGGTAAGAAAGGATTCAATAATTCTAAAAATGCTACCTAATTTACCCTAAGAAGAGAGCTTATGGTTATGTCCGTCATGTCAAACTTTATCAAAACCTCTGCTATACTTAATATAAATAAAATCTTCTGCAAATCTTGAAATATTAGACAAACAAAACAAACATGATTAATGTCTATTGATGGATAGATGAAAATTTCAACTCATATTTTTTTGCTTTCACTATTATGAAGTTTTTGATTGACTATAACTATATTTATGTATAAATTAAATATATATATAAATATAGTTAAGTAAATATATAAATTAAATATATATATAAATATAGTTAAATAAAGATGTAAATTAAATATATATATATAAATATAGTTAAATAAATATGTAAATTAAATATATTTATATAAATATAGTTAAATAAATATATAAATTAAATATATATATATATATAAATATAGTTATTGTCAATTAAAAACTATAATTTTTTTTTAAACATCTTTAGTTCCAACAAGGCTGAAAGCAACCACTATTAGAGTTGAAAGTTATTTGAAGAAAAAAAATGAATTAACATAACGATAAACAGAGGTTTATTTATATATAACAGAGATTAACAGAAGATTATTGACAAGCTATCAATAGAATTTGTACCCAGTTATACCCAAAATTTAGTATAGGTTATATAGAATTTTGTATGCCAATAAAATTTTGACATTTTATGATTCTATGATTGTTTTAAGTTAGGTGATGATGTTTAAATAAATAAAAAGAAAGACCATCAAGTTAGGTGGTGATGATGAATAAATAAAAAGAAAGTCCTTCAAGTTAGGTAGTGATGATGAATAAACAAAAAGAAAGTCCTTCAAGTTAGGTGGTGATGATGAATAAATAAAAAGAAAGTTCTTCAAGTTAGGCGGTGATGATGAATAAATAAAAAGAAAGTCCTTCAAGTTAGGTGGTGATGATGAATAAATAAAAAGAAAGTCCTTCAAGTTAGGTGGTGATGATGAATAAATAAAAAGAAAGACCAGATAATACTACAGCTTATTTTATCAGTTTTTATAATTAAAAAATTTTAATAAGTGGATATAATAATGATATAAAAAATAAATTAAATACATAATTATAAACACCTGTTTATTTTTTTATAGGTAAATTAAACATATCTTACAATGTGATTACTGCACTAAATAACAAAACCATAAATCAAGCTTCTGTACAAAGTGATCTTCACAAGCCAAATACAATGTTGACTATCCCTGATGGAGAAGATTCTGGTATTATTTCAATTGAAATTGTTAATGATAATATACCTGAACTTGATGAAGAGTTTAAAGTTGAATTAATGTCCGTCAGTATAAGTGGGACTTTCAAAAATTCATCGTCTTTATTGGGTGTCAACAAACAAAAGCGTATTATTATAACAGCAAATGATGCACCACATGGTGTTTTGACATTTGCTTCCACATCTTTAAAGTAAGAATCTTTTTTTTTTTAGATCTTTTAATTAAGGAGCTTTAATTTTAAATTTTTAATTATAATAAATGAAAACGGTTTAGTTGATTAATAAATTCTTAATTTATTTATAAAATCAAATGATGTTTATTAGATAATTAATTTCTTTGTTTAATAGCTTATTACTTATTGAAACTAATTTTCTTATATTTACACTTTTTTATTTATTTATAACCTTTTGGTATATTTATTTTTTTGATAATATTTTTTTTGGTATACTTTTTACTTTTACTTTTCTGTGTATGTAAATTGATTGTGTTTTTGATTATAAAACAAATTCAAAAGATTGTTTATAATTAAGTTTAGATTTTATAGAAAAAAATGAATTAAAAAAACTTAATTCTATCATTTCCATTTGATATCTGATCTACATTATACTTTTTTAAAACTTATTAAATTTTAAACTTGTAGTAACTTTTTTAGTAGTAAAATTTAGACAAACATTTTCAATTTTTGTTTAAATTTAGTTTTGATAAAATTAAATATATACTCCTAAATTTAATTTATCAATAAAACTTTAATATTAAAATAAAATTGTAATCTTTAATTCTGTTTTTTATTTGTATTGTGTAATTCTTCTAGCCACAAAAGATAAGCACCTTGTATTCTACAATAGAGGTCAATTCAACTTTTTTTTTACACACTCATGACTACTTCCTTGTATTTTTTGGTTGCTCATTCCTGACTTTATCATCCAAAACTTTTCAAGTTTGTTTTAAGCCCTTTTGCTTTCAAAGTTTTACAAGAATAAACTTTATTATTATTTCTACTTCTGTCTTTACAATTAACATAACATAATTGCATACAGGGCACGACAAATCATTTTTTAAAATAAATGTTGATGTTTCTTTTTTTATTGACAAACGTCTAGTTTATGTCAAATAAAAGGACCAACAACGTGGGGAAGGGGGCAACTCCCCTTTTTTTTTTCTAAAGGCCTTTTTTTTTTTTCAAGAAAAACTCTAGATATAGATGGTTGTGTACCTCCACTTCAAAATCCATGTTGTCGGCCATGAATATGCCAGTTTTATTTTCCATTCTTTCAATTTTAATTTTTTAAATTCAAATAATTTTTGATTAAATATAGGTGATTTTTATTTTAAATAACTCTTATTTTAGTTAATAAGATGTATAATTATTAGATATATCAAAGATGCTTATTGAATTTTATCAATTTTTTATTAGTTAAACTAAATATAAAATAAAAGTTGTTTTGAGACATATATTTTATATACCTTTTTTAATTTAAAAATAATAATATAATATTAAGTATTTAATAAGTTATTATATTAAGTTATTATTAAATATGATATTACTATATTTATAATAATACTAAATAAATAATAAAAAAATATCAAATGATTAGTGTTGTTAAACGCACAGTAAAAAATGAAAACTATAATAAACATAATAGTGCAATCTTGCATACTATAATAAACATAATAATGCAAATCTTAAAAAAAATCTTCAAAACTTTATAAAAGGCAAGCAAACATTAATTTAACAATAACAATAAAATTAAAAAAACATGTTTTATCATGGTTTCTTTTAAGGTAATTGCAAATGCACTTATTTTAGCTGAAAGTTCCCATGTTTTTTTAAACGCATGTAAAAACCATGCTAAAGCATTATTATTATTTTTTAAGTTGCATACTTAAAAGTAACGAAGCATGGTTTCTTTTAAAGTCATTGAAAATGCATTTTAAATTTTAGTAACTTCTTGTTTTTTTAAAATAATTATGTTTTTTTTTTTAATAAATAATGGTAAACTAACATTGAAATTTTTTCAGATCTCTTCCAAGGCAATAATAAAACTTAAAAACAAAGCACTGATCTGATCGCATAAATTCTTTTGATACTGCTGTTGTGAGATTTCCTATATATTTTAGTTAATGATACCTCTTACCATGATACTACTTATTTTTTAGCTGATAAATGCATTAAAACACATCCTTTTTTAGTACTCTACTTGCTGTGCTTTGTATATATATGTATATGCATTGCATGTGATAAGTAAAATCGCCCAGCGCATATTTTGTTCTTATAATACTGAAACATGTTATCAACGGGTGCGTCTTTCAAGAGTGATATTAAGAGTTAGAAATTGGTTGCCATAAATTACGTATGCAAGTATGAGGACGGGGTCACTTAAAAGTATACCAGTGCGTACAAGGAAATGGTGGACAATTTTTTGTTTGAATTTTTTTCATGTGAAGTCCAAGAAATCAGATCAAAAAACTTTGGTTTTTAGTTGCGTTTGTCTATCTAGCAGAACTTTTAGTTGCAATTGTCTGTTTAATGCATTTGTCTATCTAGCAGAAAAATAGGTTACTGCAGTTTTAATATTAAATAAAAGTAATGAAATATCGCCATTTACTAAAAGATGACATAACATAATATGACAGCATAGTTTCCTATTGGAGTTGAACTAACATGCTTAATTGCGGACATTCTAAACAACAGAAACGATTTAAGTTTAATTTAAAATAAAAATATTTATTTAAAAAAGATTTGTGAAAAATTAAAAAGAATTAAGCAAAAGAATCTTATGTATTTACAAAATTTTGTGGAATTTTTGATTTAAATTTTATATTCTCATTGGGATAAAACATTTTGAAAATAGTAAACATTCCATTCTATCTGTTATCTGGGTAGCAGGTTGTTAAAGCAAAATGTTTAAAAGAGAAAAGATTTTAAATCGATTTTTCCTTTGTACTTTTTTTTTTAATAATGCAGCCTGGTTTTTATCTTTGTTTTTTTAAAAGTTGTATTTAAATAACTTTTTAATAATATAAATATTTTTGTCAACGATTTTATATTATTAATTTTACTACTTCAAGTATTTAAAAATATATAAAAAATTTGTTTTTATTAAAACTTTTTTTCTAATAGTTAAACTTTGCTAATAGAAACCAGAGACTTTTTCGCTTTAACATTTTTCGCTTTAATGACCCTGAACTTGTAGCAGTTATGACTTCATAACTTTCTATTCATTGTTTGTACAAAACAGAAAACTGCATTCTAATTTAAACTGAAGGCGCGGTTTAATTATTATCAAGTGAATAATTTTTTATATACTGAATAAATATATAATAGACTTTAACTAATAATAGTATATATTAATCTAAGTATATATATATATATATATATATATATATATATATATATATATATATATATATATATATATATATATATATATATATATATATATATATATATATATATATATATATAATATATATGTATAGATATTAGTGAAAATATTTAGTTTATTAATTTATATTTGACAAAAAATATTTGATTCCAACATTTAGATGTTTTTGAATTTTAAATGTAATAGTCATTAATTAATAGATTGTGATCGAACCTGCATGAAATTGAAGCTATAAGTGAAATTTTGGTTTAATAAATTTTTTACTCATAAATTATAAATGATGTACTTTATTACAAATATGACTTCTTTATTTAACAATATGCAAACCCTACTGTTTAAACATAGTCATAAGAATTCTTTTTATGACAATGATTTAAACATATTTTGAATTCAACAAAAAAATTTTACTGAAAATATTTTCTTTTAAATCATCTTATATTTTCTCACACGCAAGTACTTCAGATGAGCGTGATTTTTTACTCTCGTAATGAAACTAGCGAGCGCTATTTGTTGCTTCCAGAAAGTTTATACACAGTTTAATATGTTCAATTCAATTTATGTTTTAAATATTGTTAGTTCATAGTTAATAGTTAATTTTATATATTACCATTTAAAAACTTTGAGTTTTTAATAACAACACAAAAATATTTTTTAAATTAATAAGTATAATAATTATATTATTTTTTAACAAAAAAATACTAAATAAATGATAAAAAATAAATATTATATTTTTATTTATTATATTTATTGTACTATTACTATAATTTTATTTAACGTTTTTAAAAATACAATATTAAATTTTGTTTTTAAAGTTTGGTGGTCAAAGAAGAAAACACAACATTCAACTTAACTGTAATTCGCTCATTTGGCTTGTTTGGTGATGTTTACTGTTTTTAT